TGGTGGAAATTTCTTTGGTAACTCATACGGCATGATTAGAGATGTCAATGGGCCGAGCCGAGCCGGCTCGGCCCTTAAACCCACGAGCTCGGCTCGGCTCGTGGCTCATGGAGAAACAAGCCACGAGCCGAGCTGGCTCGTGGCTCGTTTGCTCGTGGGCGAGCTCGCCTCAGGCCACAAGCTCACGAGGCTCGGCCCGTGGCTCGTCAATTTATTTTTTTTTGCTTTTCTTAGCTTTTATTTTTGATTTTTTAGTGTTTTTTCACGAGCTCGTACCCACGAGCTGCTCGTGAAAAATCGGCTCGCCTCGCCTAATGAGCCTGCCGCTAGGCTCGTGCTCGGGCGCATCTTTTGACGAACCCGAGCGGCTCGGTGGCAACGAGCCGAGCCCACGAGCCTACGAGCCGTTCGGCTGGATTGCTATCACTAGGCATGATATCCTCAAATTCCTGAATAAGCCTCTTGGTAGGTTTTCGAATCGGGACAGTCGCCTCTTCGATCTCCTCTAATCGAAGAGTGCACAAAAATAAGGGTTCATTTCTTTTGAAATCCTTACCAAATTACATGATCGAGATATTCTTTTCACTCGTCTTCCCAGCTTCTGAAACAACAATATCGCACCGAACTATTAAAAAGGATTATGTTACCTCAAAAGAGGTAAAGATGGAAAAATCGAAGGCTCGTATTTGTAGGGCCAAAGGCCTAATGTACATAGTTGTGAAGATAAATGAAAAGTCAATTAGGGCTATTATAGATCCTGGTGTTACCTACAACTACTTCACAAGTACCGAATTGGAGCGACTTAAACTTATTATGGAAAAAGGTAGTAGGAAGGTCAAAACAATCAACTCCGCTACTCAACCAATAGCTGGAGTAGCGAAATCTGTGTTACTCAAAGCGGGTCCTTTCGAGGGAATGACAAATTTATCCCCAGTTCAGATGGATGACTTCAAGCTTAATATGGGATTGGAATTTCTTCAAGATACTAAGACAGCAGTGTTACCATACTCCATTCGTTAATGATGATGGGTAGTAAAACTGTGCGTCATCACTACACAAGTTGGGAAGATGGGCGAAAAGAGTTTCTCGGCCATGCAATTTGGTAAGGATTTCAAAAAAAAATTGAACCATCATTTTTGTGCACTCTTTGACTAGAGGAGATAGAAGAAACGACTGGCCCTATTCCAAAACCTGTCAAAAGGCTTATTTAGGAATTTGAGGATATCATGCCGAATGAGTTACCAAATAAATTGCCACCAAGGAAAGTGATTGATCATGAGATTGAACTTATTCCAGGTGCTAGACCTCCCGCCAGGGCACCCTACCGTATGTCTCAGCCTAAGCTTGAAGAGCTTCAGAAACAATTGGGAGAAAGTGGGATTAATGTACCTACGAGATCACCATTCAGAGCTCATGTGTTGTTTTGGCAAAAAGGTTGATGGTTATCTTAGAATGTGCTGCGATTATCGAGCATTGAACAAGATCAAGAATAGCTATCTTATTCCGCTAGTTGAGGATTGCTTCGACCGACTAAGTCGGGTGAGGTATTATACAAAGATTGATCTTAGGTCAGGATATTGGAAAGTTCGGATCAATGAGGGAAATGAAGCAAAGACTACAGTGGTAACAAGATATTGAGCATTTGAATTTAAAGTGATGGCTTTTGGATTAACAGACGCTCCAACAACCGTTTGTACGATGATAAATCAGGTACTTCACGGGTTCTTAGACGATTTTGTGGTGGTGTACTTAGAAGACATATTAATTTATAGCGAGATTTTTGAGGGACATGTAAGATAAGTTTTCAATCGATTATGAGAGAATGAACTCTATGTCAAACCGTCTAAATGCTCATTCGCTTAAACGTCTATCAGTTTCTTTGGTCACATCATTGAATAAGGTAAAATACGTATGGATTCGAAGAAGGTTACAACCATCAAAGATTGGCAACCACCAAAGAATGTCCATGATGTACGTTCGTTTCTCGGGTTATCCAATTACTATCGAAAATTTGTGAAAGGGTACTCAGAAATTGCATTGTCACTCATCGAATTGACAAAGAAGGATAAGGATTAAGACTGGTCATCCAAATGCCAAATTGCTTTTGAAAAGTTGAAGAAGTTTATGTGGACGAACATGGTGTTAGCCTTACCGGATATGATTAAACCATTCGAAATTCATTCCGATGCTTCAGGTTTTGCACTTAGTGGAGTCTTTATGTAAAAAGGACATCTGATAGCATATGAGAGCTAAAAGCTAAACTAAGCAGAACGTCATTATTCGACGCACGAAAATGAATTGTTGGCGGTAGTCCATTACTTTAGAGGATGACGTCACTATTTGCTTGGGTCTCCATTTATTGGGAAGAGAAATAACACTATGGTTAGTCACTTCATCTCCCAACCGAAACTATAAAGCAAACAGGCTCGTTGGCAGGAATTTCTTTTATAGCTCAATTTTATGCTAGAGTATCGTTCAGAGACTAGTAATCATGTTGCTGATGTTCTTAGTCGGTGGACCAACTTGACCACTATTTGCTCTATGACTACTCTTTCAGGGAGCACAATTACCATAAATACAAGAGACCAAATTCGGGTACTTTTGAATAAGGACCCAGCTACTCAATATTTGGTCGACCTCATCAAGTAGGGCAAAATTTGTCGGTTCTGGCTCGATAGGGGCCTAGTGAAGACTAAGGGAGACATCCTATATGTTCCTAAGGGCGGAGATTTGAGAAAATCACTAACTACGGAATTTCATGACACGATTTGGACATGGTATCCTGGAGAGAAACACACTTTTGCACTACTACAACGTGCATACTACTGACCTAAAATGTGGTACGACATTACAACTTATATGAAAACCTGTCTTATATGTTAGCAAGATAAGACAGATCATTAGAAAAAGGCAGGCATGCTTGAGCCCATTTGTCCCCACTAGGTCATTCGAGAGTATATCGATGGACTACATCATTGGATTGTCAAAAGTTGAGGATTTTGGCACTATCATCATCGTGGTAGACCGCCTAAATACATATCAGATGAAGAGACAGTTCAACTCTTCTTCAAACATATTATCAAATATTAGAGACTGTCTGAAGACATCGTCATGAATTGAGATCCTCAATTTACTGGGATATTTTGGATCGAGTTGTTCAAACTTCTTGGTTCAACTTTGAGCATGAGTTTTAGTTTTCATCCACAATTTGATCGACAAATTTCTTTCGAACAAGGGACATGATTATAACGAACCTGGGTGCAAAGCCACTTGTACTTCAAATTTCAGTCGGGGTTGAGGATAATTTCAGAGTTATTGATCTTGTGAGGATGAAAGTGGTGTGTTGTCATAAGCACCCAAAAATAGTTCTTAAAACCTCTAAAACTAATGTAGTAATGGAAGTAAAGGTCGATCACACGAAAAGTGTGCAATTCAACCATTTATCCTTCGTATAACGATTAGGGGGTTTGTTTATAACGAAATCAATTTTATAACAAATAACAATGTAAATTATTGAGTTGTATTAAATTAATGAAACGTGTCTTGATCAAAGTCAACTTCCACCATTGGAGATTTATAATCATTTATTAATCCACATTCACAATATTCATCGTTAGAATAAATTCATATTTCTCCTTAATTTTAATTAATCAGAAATCAGCGTTCTAATTAATCATAATTATCAAATAATCTCAAATCAGCGCTAAATATTCAATTTAATAACAGTTTTAAACAATAGAGAAATCGATGAATTAGATAATACAAAGACCAGCGGTTGCATTCAATCTATTTAAACATTATTCTTAAAATTCAATAACATTTATCGCAGAAAATTATCAAATCCTAGTATTTCACAAATTAAATGATTTAAACAATTACGGATTTCAGATTTAACTTAGCTATAGATTTCAATGTATGAAAAACTAATAGATCTCTTAGCAATCAAACATGACAATCATAAAATTATGTATTGAAAAATATTCAATACTGAAAATATAAATTAAACAATGAAAATAGGTAGATCTCACAGTTATAATATTTTCTAAGGCTTCGGTATCCTTCAATCAAGCACAAAGAATTAGTTACACATGATAGATTTAAGAAAAATAGAGAGAAAATAGGTTGGAGGCGTTCTGGTGTATTTTTCGTGTGTTCTAGGGTTGATAAATATCAAAGGAACTTGTTTCTATAAGTAGTGGAACTGAATTAGAAAACTAGAAAATTATTTTCGATTTGACATGGGCGGCCGCCCAGTAGAAATTGGGGTGGCCGCTTAGGCATAAATATTGGCCTCTGTCAATGAAGTTTAAGGTCAGGCAGTCGCCCGACCAGTATAACTGAGCAGCTTTAAGTATTTTGGTCATATCTTCTTCTCTCGATATTCGATTGAGACTATTCAAGATGCGTTGGAAAGTTAACTCAAAGGTATACAATTTTGCTTCAAATATGATCTTCCAATTTGATCGTTTACTATGTCAAAAATGGGTCTCAAACTGATACTGAAAATCCGATGCATAACTTTTCGTTTGGAAATTGATGTGTGACCCTACTTTAACGATATTTCATCCATTTGACTTCTTTCTTCATCCAATTGACCTCTAACACTCTCAAATTTTCATTGTGAGATTCAACATGACTTTTGAGTATTTGTACCTTAGTCCCTGAACTATTACTTTCTTTCATTTTGGTCATTTTCCACTTATTTCTTTCAAATTACGCTATATCCATCAAATTGCTACCTAAACCAAAATATGAGANTTTGCAACCTAAATCTAAATATATACGTAATGAGTACATTTTGGCACTAATTGATCATTCGGGAACATATAATATTGAGAGAAAAATATGCATTTTGCATTCCTATCAGAAAGCTATTATTTGGTCTAGTGAAGAATTTGGTGCAAAATTTGCATAAGACATTCCAGACAATCTCAAAAAGTTGGCTTAAGAGTATAGGTCACAATTGATTGAGATCATAGTCGAGTAAGGATGATGAAGGTATGGAGAACTACCAGGAAGGCTTCGAGCCCGATGAGGCAACCGTCAAGAAATTAATCAGGCTGAGTACTATTTCAAGCAGTTTTGTTCCAATACTACGTGGGTCAGCTTTTAAGAACAAGGGAGTTCAGCCATTGCTTGATGTAGCGGGGGATTATTTTCCTTCTCCCATTGACTTGCCAGCAATCAAAGGAACTAACCCTGATGATCCGGGTTGATAATTGAAAGATCTACCAGTGATGATGAAACTTTTGTCAGATTAGCTTTCAAGATCGTGAGCGATCCATTTGTGGGTTCGCTAACATTTGTCCGAGTATACGCAGGGAAGCTTACTGCAGGGTCTTGCGTGCTAAATTAGAACAAAGGGAAGAAAGAGAGAATTGGTCTACTTGAAATGCATACGAACAGCCGAGAGGACGTAAAAGTCGCCTTAACTGGTGATATTGTAGCTCTTGCAGGTTTGAAAGATTTGATTACGGGAGAAACATTATGTGATCCTGATATGCCGGTTGTGCTTTGAAGGATAGACTTTCCCGATCCTGTGATTAAGGGTGCCATTGAACCCAAGACTAAAGCTGATGTTGATAAGACGTCAGCTGGTTTAGTTAAACTTGCTCAAGAAGATCTATCTTTCCACTTCTCACAAGATGAAGAAATCAACGAGACGGTTATTGAAGGAATGGGGTGATTATACCTTGAGATTATTGTTGATAGGCTCAAGAGGGAATTTAAGGTCTGTAATTTCGACACTGCGATGTTCTCTAATAGTTTTGTCTGTGTTTTAGCAATAAGTTTAATATGTCAATTTTTGCCTTTTTATTCCTGCCACTGGCCCTTCCCTTTAAACATATACACCGAATTCATTATTTATATGGATACTTCACTTGATAACCCTACTTCCAATTACACATGGAAATGTGCACACGAGACGAAATATCTCTTCAGGAGCCATTTCCACTAGATTTTGTTCTAGTGTAAATCAAAGAACTGCGTTACTTGGCTAACTGACTATTTGTTTCAAGGCTAGTGTAGAACAAAAGTAATCCATTTTATTTCTTCAATAATACATAAATCTGAAGTATTGGCAATTTCCACATCAAAAAGTACTACTTTTCTTGTGTCTATATCCCTGATTTATTTAGCCCCTGTTTGACACATCACACGTTATTTTTTTTCATTCTCATTTTTCTATTTATTTTCAACCACACATTCTTCAATAAAATAATATTTTTCATCACATTAATAACTTTTTCTTCATTTTCAACCACATATTCTCCATCACATCACTTCAAAAAAATGTATTCTCTCATTTTAATGTACACCAAACAAGCTCTTAGTTTGCCAATTCAATATTCCTCGAGCGGCAATGAATTAAAATTTTTTTTCATCCATCTTATTTACTTGTATTAACTTGTCATGCATATCACTTACAGGTGGATGCGAACGTCGGTGCACCAAAAGTCAACTACCGGGAGAGCATTTCAAGGGTTTCTGAAGTTAAGAACGTTCACCAGAAACAATCTGGTGGGTCAGGACAGTTTGCTGATGTTACCATAAGGTTCGATCGCATGGAAGCAGGTGGTGGATATGAGTTCAAAAGTAAGATCAAGGGAAGGGTAGTTCCAAAAGAATATATACCTGGTGTGATGAGAGGATTGGAAGAATGCATGAGCAATGGAGTTTTGTTGGCTATCCTTTTGTAGATGTTCGTGCGGTATTAGTTGATGGTTCTTACCATGAAGTCAATTCTAGTGTATTGGCTTTTCAACTGGCTGCTAGAGGAGCTTTCTGGGATGGGATGAGGAAAGTAGGTCCCCAAATGCTTGAACTAATTATGAAGGTTGAAGTTGTCACCCCTGAAGAACATTTGGGTTGTGATTGCATATCTTAATTCGAGGAGAGGCCAGATCAACAGCTTTGGAGACAAACCTGGTGGCCTCAAAGTATTTGAAATGCCATTATGCATAATATTCAGACTTGATTTTGTCTTTTTACTTTTGCATTTCCCAAGAATGATAATTAGATCTTCATATTTTCTCTTAAAAGTACTAATGACCATTGCACTTTTAGCAGAAATTTTCACCCTCGTTAATTTCATTTTGTTCCAAGTTAATGAAATTAAACTTTGCTACTTTTAGGTTACTAAACTTTGAAGTTTGTTGCAATTTGGTAATTCCGTCCATGTTCATTTGTTTGACTAATGGAAAAGATGATGTGGCACATAATTAGACTGCCACATCATCTTTTATGTTAGTCAAACTATGTTGCAAAACATTCAAGATATCAGAATTGTTTTGATACCAATTGTTGTGAAACAAATTATCGGATTGAGATGTTGAAGTTATATGACAAATAATAATAAAGTATTTGATCAAGTAAAAGAATAAAGAAGATAAGACTATTGCAGATAATTAAAAGATTTTATCGATTCAAGAATAATGGAGAAGAGATAAAATTACAATGGATCCTATAATTTAAGTAATCTATTTTCTCACCTCATAAAATTGTATATAAGAGCCTATGGCATATCCAAATCCACAAAGCAGAGTTATTGATGAAGTAGGATACCATAAAATTGAGTCCAAAACAAATTTTAACTCCTAATGGGCTTCCAAAATAGAACTTCAACATGACATAAGACTCTAACAATATTCCAAATTTGAATTCTTCATGAAGTGCACTTCAATTAGAATTTTTCAATTATTTCAACAAGAAATTAAAATCACACCCAATTTCTAATAATCTTCACATTGACACGAATTCCACCAAGGAATGAACTGTCTTCTTCAACAATAACAAAAAAATTAATTTCTCCAATCAAATACAAAATACTCCACATCTTCCAATGAATCCAAACACTACTCTGCAGAATTAACTCAAATTCAAAAAAATCATAATGATTTTATAATTTACCAAAATGGACTATAACACACCCCAAAGTAGAATCAATACCACATGCTTTTATAGAAGGCTCCTTACTAGATTATACACCTTGTACTCTACTTAAAGCTTGCTCAACAAAATTAGCGTCCACATATCCATTTCCATTGGGTCCGTCCCTAGCAATTGAATACAATGGCACCGCAGGTGATGGTGACAAAGCGGAAATATCCATATCTCTTGAACTCCACTGAACTGTATTCTTCAAATCCTACCATTTATGAGCTCCTAAAGGTATTGTATCAAACTGAATGTCCACCACGATCCTGAACTTGTGCTGATTGACTCTTCTAAATTATGCACGACCCTGTGAGATGTATGACCGAGACCTTTTATGTCCCTCCAATACAACTTGGACACCCTTAAAAACCTTAAAAAATCCACCTCCACCAAATGACTCATAAACTTTTAAATCAAGCATAGACAACGAGATGAGATTTTTCTTCAAATCTGGAACATGTCGAACCTGGTCAAATGTTCTAATTGTCCCATCCAAAAGCTTCAATCTGACGTGCTAATTTCAGCAACCTGACAAGATGCGTTGTTTCCTATAATCACAACACCTTTGGAAATAGTTTCATATGTAGCAAACAAGTCCTTATTAAGATACATATGAAACACACACGCTGGATCAAGAATCCAATCATCTTCCGATTTAGATTCAATGTCAGAATAACTAAGAGTTCTCCATCACTTAAAACGTTCTCCACGAGGTCTACTTCACTTGAAGTATCTGAATATCTATTTGCAGCCATCATTTCTTTATTCTGCAATTTGTAGCAATCTTTCTTTAAGTACCACTTTTTCTTGTAGTAGTTACAAATTTGATTATTGAACTTAGATTTTGATCTGCCCCTTCCAGAACTACCATGAGCAACCAGGCCTTCTCCATCTCTGACCTCAAGAACCAAATGTTTCATCTTCTCTTTTAAATACAAAGTATCATACACTTCCTTTATGGTGAGAGTATCACGACTATATAAAATCGTGTCTCTAAACGAAGAAAATGAAGTGAGCAACGAACACAATATGATCAAAGCTAAATCTTCTTCATCATACTCTACTTCCAAAGTTTTCAAATCAACCACGATCTCCTTAAATACAGTCAGGTGGTCTTCCAATTATCCTCCATCTGTCATTCAATGAGAGTATAAACGCTGCTTGAGATTCAACTTGCTTGTCAGACTTTTAGTCATGCAGAATTGCTCAAACATCAACCATAAAACAGCTACTAAATTCTCATTCAAAACGTTCTGAAGAATAATATTTGATAGATGAAGATGAATGTGAGAAACTGTCTTCTTATCCTTCCGTAATTTCTCCTCTGCAGTCAAAGTTGCGGACATTTTGTCAATTCCCAGCAACGCATCATCCAAATCCAACTGTGCGAGTACTACACGTATCTTAACCTACCATAGCGTAAATCTAGTGTTACGATTCAAAAGCAAAATGTCATACTTCATGGAAGCCATCACGAACAAAAATCTCGAACAAATCAAACCCTGCGCTCTTGTGGAAATGCTGAACCTAGGCTCTGATACCACTTGTTGTGAAACCAACCATCAGATTAAGATGTTGAAGTTATATGGCACAATAATGAAGTATTTGATTACAAGCAAAAAAAAATAAAAAAGGACAAGAAATATAGTAGATGAATTAAGAGATTTTATTATTTCAAAAAACAATAGATCCCATAATTCTAGTAAACTATTTTCTCACACTTATTAAATTGTATAAAAGAGCATAATATTTATAGGGAACATGTAGGGGACGTCCAAACCCTTAGTAGAGTTGTTGATGAAGTAGGATGTCAAAAAATCAAGTTAAAAACGAAATAGAAGAAGAAAACGCGGAAAAAAGGAACAGAACAGGTGGTGTCGCGACGCCCACCTCCAGGCGCCACGATGTGCAGCGCCGGGCAATCTGCCTGAT